ATAACTTTAATTATGCTTACTTATTTTCAAGACAATGGGAACTCCTTGAAGGTTTAAGAAGACCTGTCTCACACTTCACCTGTATCCTCAAAACACCTCACAGATGGCGTTGGCTGAAGAGCTGGCGTTTAATAAATACTGCCTGAGCTGAACTGGAACTGTCATCTAACTGTAAAGCACTCCTAACCACCACTTTATGACTGGCATTTTAGTTCTCATTCTCTGAGAATAACAAGGGGATAGAAAAATGGGGAGACAGATACAAGATATTTCACCCCAACAAAGAGTAACTAAAAAACTCTCCAGTCTAGGGTTCTGTACACAGAATTGGCAATATCCTGAGATCTAATAGATGCCTTTTATAATGAGTTCATACTCTTGTTTGGGAGAGTGACAATAAAGCCAGAAGAAACACTGCAAGGTTGTTATTAATGTAACAACTAAATCAGTTTCAAAATGGTAAAAATTTTGTTCCCTATATCAAAGATATCATTTTACTAAAACTGAAGCCCAACACCTCTAATCTCAGCATTCTGTGAAGTTGAAGCAGAAGGATCTCAAGTTAGAGCCTAGCTTAGGCAACATAGAGAGACTATGACTCAAAACAAAAACAAAAACACCCCAAAAAGAACTGGTATGTAGTTTGGTGAAAAGTTCCTGGGTTCAATCCCCTGTACCACAAAGGGGGTAAAAACTCAAGTCCATACATACAAACCTGAACTAGAGTCATCACTTTCAAAATAATTTTAAAGCAAGCAAGAAGATAATTATTTCAAAGATGTGAAAAAAACAGAAAGAGTACACAAATTATGTAATAATGTTCCGCATATACACAAATCAAAGAAAATAAACAAGTAAATCATTAAAACAAATAAGAAAGTTCAATTCAGTGGACTGATGTAAGACCAATATCCAGAAATCATTAGCACTGTACACACTAACAACTGTCATCGAATAAGGCCCACAGACAAAATGATACCACTGATAAATGTGATAACAATTCTATGGTACATGAGAATATATATCTCATCAAAGATAGGCTGGATATTTATGAGGGAAGTTGTGAAATATTGGATAACAGCAAAGACCTAAATAAATGAAAAATTTTATATTCATAAAAAAGAATTTTCTAGAATCTAGAGCATAAAAAATGTTAATATTATGAGTTTAATCTATTAAAGTAAATGAAAGTCTAATCAGAATTCAACAAAAATAGTTTTTGGAGTCTAAGACAGGTGTGGTGGGGCACACCTCTAATTCCAGTACTCTGAAAGGCTGAGGCAGAAAGACTGCAAATTGGGAGCCCAACATAGGCAATTTAGTGAGACCCTGTCTCGAAATTTTAAAAAAGGGGGTGAGGTTGAGATACAGCTCAATGTGAGAGTTCTGCTTTCCATCTCTAGTATTGGGATGGGGGACTTTTCTCAAATCTTTATGTAAGGGTAAAAAACCAAGTATGGGAAAAATAATTTTAGAAAATAACAAGGAAGAGGGATTGGTCCTATCAGATACACACAAAGGAAACTGTCAAAAGAAAGCTCAGAATCAGATCCCTATTTATGATAAATATACCAATACAGTAGAAGGGAAGAACAGATTCAGAACTATTGACTGGAAAAAACAATAAAATTGGGTCTCTATGTTATCTACACAGAAAAATAAAATTCAATTAATTAAAACCCTAAAAGTGTTTTTGCATAAAATATATAAAAATATATTTAAGACTTTAAAATAAAGGAAAGTTTTAAGTTAAGACCCCAAAAGCCTTGACACATGAAGAGAAGGTTTTTAATTTTTTTGAGATAGAGTCCTACTAATGTAGTTCAGGGTGCCCTTGAGCTTACTATGTAGCTCATGCTGGCATCAAACTCATGGCACAGTCTCCTGCCTCAGGCTCTCCAATGCTGGAATTACAGCGCTACCATGCTCGGCAGACTTTAGTATGCCCGCGGATCTCACAGTTCAAAGGATGGGAGAAGACCTTCTTACATGTGATATTGAAAAAAAAGAGGCCAGTAATTTAAAAAGAAAACTTTAAAATAACTCTTCCAAAAGAGGAAAAAAAGTGGAGTGGGGAACAACTCAGAAAGAATTTGGTAACAAAATACAACCAAGAAATTAGCAGAGGTACGGGTAGTAGAAAACAAAGACAATTAAATTAACTATCAGGGAAATGTACTTAATGCTATAACCCCATACCCAACTTGGCAAAATGTTAAAGCGAGAAAAAGTGTCAATAAGAATGTGGGAAAACAGAAACTTCAATGCTTGTCATTTGAAGCCCAGTGTAGTAATTACCTGGTTAACATAAAAATGAACATGGACCCTAAAGAAACTCTTTTTAAGTATACAATGGCAGGTAGAGTATGTATGTAGATGTCTGCTGCAGTGCTGACTATGAGAGCAAAAATTTATAGCAGTTTATGGTTTTGCAACGTCTACTGATAGGAGAATAGATTGTTTGAAATGTGACATATTCATGTAATACAATACTATGCAAGAGCTACTAGGTTACGTACATGTACTAACTCCCCACAATGATGGTAATCATTACATAATGTAAATATGTACTAATAAAAGTTTAAAGACGATCTTCTAGGACTGAATAAACTTATGTATATTTAAATCTCAAAATCCATGTGGGGCTGGGTATGGTGGTGCATCCTATAATCACAGCACTTGGGAAACTGAGGCAGGAGTATCTCTGTGAGTCTGAGGTCAGCATGGGCTACAAAGTGAGTTTAAGGCCAATCTGAACTCCAGAGGGAGACTCTGTTTAAAAAAAAAAAATCAGAAAACAAAAAATCCATGTTGAAAAGTTATAGAAAAAAATAGCTTCTCGGCCTTTTGGCTAAGATCAAGTGTAGAAAAAAATAGCATACAGTTTATGTAAATTTAATAAACATTTTATACTGCTCATAGATATATGTGTGCATAAAATCAGACTGAAGGCACTAGAAAAAATAAATAGAAGTAGATATTTTATTTAAGATTATGCAAATATGAAAAAGATACAACATAAAAATATTAATTATAAGTGGTAAATATATATGGTTTCTTAGTGTATTCTATTGATACAGAATTCATATAATTGATACTTTTTAAATATCCTTATATAAAAATTAAATGGTAATAGTTAAAGATAACAGTTTTATTTGTTCTACGTTTTTCTTCATGAACAACTGACTTTATACACAAGTGTTAACTTCCACAACACACAAGATACATACGTGATGTATCTTGATATAACCCTTTTTCCTAGATCTGGACACTTGTAAGTACTTAGATCATGGCCTCTCTAGGCCAGTTTTTGGAGCTGATTAACTGTCAACTTTTCTTTTTTTCCCCTCTAGCCCCCACATTCTCCTATAAAGCCTCTTCTTTTCCTTCACACTGGAAAGAAGCACGTAACCAATGACAGCAGAGCCTTGGCAGCTTTCCTCTCAGTGATGATTGGTGATTATTAATTAGGGTTGATTTTGCTTTCCCTGCCCCTGAGATAATCTGACAATGTCTGAAAACATTTTTGGTTACCATAACGAAGTTATTATTGGCATTTAGTATGTAGAAGCAAGGGTACTGCTAAATATTTGTGTTGATTGTGACTGTCAACTCGACTGGATTAAGAAATGGCAAGAGACGTGACTGGACTGTGAAGTCACTGGTATCTCGAAACGGCAAGAGAGGTGACTGGACTGTGAAGTCACTGGTATCTCATCAGGTGCTAACACAGGGATGGACTCATACCCGAAGGGCTGTCAGAAGGGAGGCGTCCCCTCTGGCTTTCTCTTACTCTTGGCTTCTTGGATGCTACAAATGAAGCAACTTTTTTTGCCATGATATTTCTGCAGGGGAGCCTTAACCATGGACTGAAACTGTGAGTAGAACTACAACTCTTTAAACTGTAGGTATAAGGTATTTTGTCCTGGAGACAAAAGTGTACTAAAACAATATCCTGTAATATACAGAACAGCCCACCATAACCAAGAATTATTGGCTTAGGATATTTAGTGCAGAGTTCGAGGGAGGTTGCTCTAGATGCTAAAAGACAAATAGAGTCAAATCCCCACTCCTTGCTTCTCAGATGGGAACTGATCTTTTAATCTGACTGGATTCGACACTATTCTATATATTAATCCATTTCTTCAAAAATCAAATGTAAAAGGCAATAGTTTCACTTATTTGTACTTAATTAGGCTCTCCTTAGCAGTAAGCTCGTCTCTTTTCTTTTCTTTTTCTTTCTTTTTTTGGAGACAGGATCTTGCTATGTAATTCAGTCAGGCTGGCCTTCAACTCACTATGCAGCCTGGGCTGGCTTCACACTCGCAGCGACCCTGCTGCCTCAGCCTCCCGAGTGCTGGGATTATAGGCGTGCACCACCGCACCTGGCAGCAGTTAGCTTTCTTTCAGTCTGTTTCAGATGGTCATGTTCCTCACAACACACCAAATATTAATTTCACAAACAATCATTTTTCATATTCCTGAGATAATAATATATTCTTAGTGCCCAATACAGCATTTAAAACTATTCAAGAGATTTAATTACTTGACAAATATTTACTGTGTCCTTACTAAATATAAGCCACATACTGTGCTATGACCTAGTTATATAATGATGAGCAAGAACAGACAGGGTACCTTACCAAACAGCAATTCAGTGTCTAAGCCAGCTTATTCCTGAAATAATCACACGAACTAGTAAAAACCTTCAACTATGGATCAGAGCCATAACTCTATTTGAGACATCTACACAAGTGAGAGAGATTTGACCTCAGAGTTGCAGAAGGAAGAAAAGGTTCCCGTAAAGGAAGTAATGACTAAGCAGAGCCTGAGTACTAATTACAGGAAATGAAGAAGCAAGCTGAGTGTGGGAAAGGCGTGTGCGCAGACCTGGGAGGAGGAGGAGTGTGGTGAGTGTGAGGGGCTCTAGGAGGGCCGCTGAACCAGAAGCTCCAACGTGGCAGTGAAAACAATAAGGAAGCTCTGCCAGAAGCAGACTCAGGGGAGTGCTCCTACCTCGATGCCAGTGTGTCACATGGCGAGCCTTTTCTCTTGTGTGAGTCTGGGTTGGCAGGATCAGATGAACTGTCCCCAAGGCCACTCATGTTGAAAAACTTCACACCTAAAAAGGAAAGGTAAGAATAAGCAATCTACCTTATAGCCTTTTCACCCAAATACAGGATGGGGAATTCCTCTCTTCATGTTTCTAAATACAGCCAAAGTTTCTAAACACTGGTCTGTCAATAAAAAGAGGATTACAACTATAATAAAAGCATTGGTGTTTATGTACGACTAGAAGGGTCATCAACTACTCACTTCCCATACTTCTGTTTCCTAAATCTGTAAAATAAAATTAAATCCCTTATGAAATTATTATGATAAAGTCAGATGAAAATATTGTTAGAATAGTTAAAAAATAAAATTTTATTTTTACAAAGAGAAAAATCATTTTACCTGTAAAATATAAAGACAAGTATATGAGAGTCACAAAAATTATTTTTGGAATTTTACTCAGACCCTACTTTGCAAAAATAACTTTACCTACAAGGTTTAGTACTTTGTATTGATAGAAATTAAATAGTACATATATGCTTAGAGTAATAAACTAGATTTGGAATTTGAACTGTACTTCCACTTTTGAGTTCCATATACCCAACCTCGTGTTTATGTAGTTAGGCTACAAAGATCAAATGTTTAGTCTATGTTAGGATCTTGGTAGAGGTGCCAGAAATCACAAAGTCACTCCCTGAATGCCAGCCAGGTCTCTCACCTGCTGTGCCAGTTAGTGACTGCACTTACAGACCCTATCTGATCTGTCTCTCATCAGCCACTTCCCTTGTGATTGCTAAGAAAACAGAATCATTCATGGCTTTGCAGTCATCATTACCTTTTGGGTTTTATTAGTGCCAAACAATACACCTACATTCTCTTACTCTATCCACCTTTGGAAAACAAAGGCAAACTTACGTTAAAATGGGAAACTGTGAGCCTTGTTCTAAATTCTGAATTATTAAACCCCAGCAGACAGCATATTAGCTGCCATGCTGGGAATGTATATTTTAATGAATGCTGAAGTTTTTGACCATCTCTCACATGGTTTTAGCTATCATATTTTTATTACAACTGTAAAAAAAAAAGCAACATCTATAAATGAGTAAATCTTTCAGTAACTCTAAAATCTACTCTATTTCAGGTCCTTCTCTGAAGACCAAAGATTGTCATACCCTCATTGTATAAATGTTCCCAAAATTTTAATCATGAAACTATGTCATGTAACTAGAAAGCCACATTTCAAATTTTTTCCATTTTAGAAGAGCTGCTTATAAAAGCTTTTAACACCTAGGACTGTGATCTTGCAATTATTTTTTATTCTTTCTTTTTTACTTCTCACTTCTAATTGGTATCCGTGTCCTGCCAATTCCCCTTTAACAAGTATTTTAGATTTTCCCTCTCAATCTCAGATTGTTATGATCCTAGTTTGGAATCAAGCATTCTAGGTTATTACAAGATATTTTCATCTTTCTTCTCAATTCCAGCCATTCTCACTCTCAGCAATACTATCCAGTCCTAAACAGAAGCAAAAACACTTCTGCTCAAATGTCATTTTCAAGATGTTACTTTCTTAATGGAGAACCAATTGGATTCCTATTGAAGCATGGCAGATAAAAAGTATGGCTTTTGTAGCAGAAAGACCTTGTTCAAGTCTTGGTTTAACCACTAATGTGCCTACCTGTCCTTGGGCAAAATACATAACTTATCTTTAAATGTACTTCCTTCTCAGATAGATTTTGTCTCAAATGGTGCCATAAGTCATTCTAGCCTCTTCTCATAGAAGGCCCCACAGAAGCAAACACCACGATTTGTCAGTTTTTATTTCCTAAATACATTCATTCCTCACATTCTCCTTTACCAAGATGGTGAATTCAGATTCTCATCATGTCTTGTAGGACTACTAAAACAGTTTCCCAAATGGTTTTCAAGTTTCCAGTGTTGCTGTCCTATATCCATCTACTGCAGAATCACCAAATATACATCTAATCATGTCAGTCCTTTACTAAATGCTCCCAAGGATATCTAGCTTCCTTAACATGATATACAGTTTGCATCAGCTCTTGGGTGAGTCTATTATAGAACCTGATGAAAGAGCAGCTAAATGCCTGTTCAATAAAGTATTTACATACTATATATGTTATATATTATAATACATATATACTCTATATTATGTGATATATAATCTGCATATATAAACACACACATATATGTTAGTCTTAGTTTCAATCTCAAAAGATTTCAAAAATAGGATGCTTGCTAATATACTATGCTCCTGAAAAAGGTAAACGTTAGGCAAAAAAATCCACTTTAAATTGATCTCAGTTTGGTGAATAGCCCAATTGAAAATATCAATATTTATTGAACTCCTTCCATATGCCAACCTCTGTTCTAGGTCTTGGGAATACAGTTGTGAATAAAATTTACAAAATCACTATCCACATAGACCAGTGATGGTGAATCTTTTAGAGCTTTCAATGATACAAACAGTCCACTATGCTATGTGTACCATAAATTCACCACTGACACAGAGTATCATTCTATCGTAAGAAAAAAACAATAAATGAAATTAATAAGTAAATTATATACTTGATCTTAGGGGGAAAAGAAATGATTTTAAAAGGTAAATGATAAAGTATATTAGGAGGTGTAAGTGCTAGTGGGAAAAGTAAGGCAAAACTTCAGTAATGAGGTAGCAAGTAAGGTGATCCAGAAAGGTCTCTATGCAAACATGAGATGTGAGGAGATCTTGAAGGAGACGCAGGAGAGCCATGAGAATGCCACATGAGGACAGGTGGTCCTGGCAGGGGAAGCATTATGAGAAACATGGAAGAGTGAGTGTGCGGCTAGACTGGGGAATGAGAGAACAGTGAATAGATACAACACAGAAGGCCTGAGAAAAGATGTGCACAGTGCTATATGCCTGATCCCAGCACTCTGGGAGGCTGAGGCAGGAGGATGGAAAGTTGGAGTCCAGCCTGGGCAACTTAACAAGACCCTGTCTCAAAATATAAAGTAAAAATGGGCTGGGAATGTAACTCAGTGAAGGCCCTGGATTGAATTCTCAGTACTGACAGATATGAGAGAGAGACAGAGAGAGAGAGAGAGAGAGAGAGAGAGAGAGAGAGAAAGGGGAGAGAGAGGGAGAGGGAGAGGAAGAGAGACAGACCTGACTGTGGTCTTATTAGCATTCATTCTGAAATCCAAACACAAAATAAGAACAATCAGCTAAGTGATACATGACTGTAATAAGAAACTATCTTTTACATGAAAATTAACAGAAATACAAATAAGGTTAACAAAACATCACAAAAATTAAAGGTACCACTTAAGTTTATTTTCACATACAAAAAACCCTGTAAGTCTTTAGTTAATATAAAAAAGAATTATGCAATAAATAACGAAGTGTCAAATCTAAACTTTTCTACAAAGGAGACAGGACAGAAGGATATAAGAAACAAAAAAGAGTAAAAACATGAGTTCAATTTGCCCAAATTCAAAAATAGAGTTTGCTAACTCTTATTTCATGGTCACGTGCCAGTTCCTGTGAAGCTGCCCATCTTTTCTGCCTCAGATGAAATTGTGTCATAATCATCAGGAAGTCTTTCATTCCTGAAAATATTCCTGGGTATATCTTTCTTATTACAATATGCTCTAAGCTGTAATTACTTTGTCTCCTTTTTTAGATTTGAACTCACAGGCAGTTATTAAATCGTTTTACTTTATGTGTAATATCTAGTAACATAATGCCCAAAAGATATGTAAGTTAGATAAGCAGTGATTACGCCATCGCTAAGCTACCTTCATTTCCTTCCCTCCCTGCTCCCTTTTCTCTCCAGAGTCTCACCATGTAGTTCAAGCTGGACTTGAACTCACTATGAGCCCCAACTGGCCTCGAACTCTTGGTTATCCTCCTGCCTCAGCCTCCCAAACGCTACCATTACAGGCCAGGCGCACACTGCCACACTCTGCTTCCTTCTGTTTTAATTTTGAGACAGCATCCTGCTGAATCACTAAACTGCCCAGGTTGGGCTTGAGCTTCTTATTCCTGCCTTAATCTCTGAGAGTACCGAGATTACAGGTGTGTACCACCAAGTCTGGCTGAGCCTACATTTAAAACTTTTAAAACATAATTAAGGTGTTTACGGTAAACTTTTCTACAATATTTTATAAAGCTTTGAAATTCTTTCCTATAATTGAGAAACATGAGCTTTCTTTGAAATTCTTATTCTCCTACTTTTCACAGAAATAAAACAAAAACTTTCTTGTTGGGCTAGAAAAAAAGCAAAAGATTTATACAATCTGAAAAGAAACCAGAGTACTCTTTTTGGTCTAGAAATTGAAAATTATCTCTTTTAATTCTGGAAACATGAAGCTCTGTTTCAGAGAAACAGCCTGAAATATGTCTCAGTACTATACAGTCACAAAGCCATTTTTCAGTTATATAATTAAAATAATTCAATATCAGATTTGATAATTTTGAGCAACAAATAAACTTGGGTCTAAAATAAGACTCTCATGCTATGCTACCCAAGTACCATTAGCTGGAGTTTCACATTTGCTAAATTTATCTGAGATTCTGGGGCTGAGGAAACAGCAGACACGATTCAACTGCAGTAGACAAACTGGCCTACCAAAATAAGCCAATGGTCAAAGAGCTATGGAAAGTCACCAAGAATTTGCTGGTGGTATGATTCTTGTATGAACTACTTTCTATTTACAAAACACAATAAACAAATAGTGCAATGCAAAACCTCTGATGAGACCAAACTATTATAGCTGTTGCATTTATGTGGATTGGCTTTATATCTGGTAATTAGGGTACTAAAAAAAGGGATTATTAATAAAAGAAATATTGGCTTCAGGAAACTAATTTGCGTATCATCTTTTACAAGAGGTAAGGTTTCCAAGTAAAAGTCCTCTGTTGATGTAAAGAGTTGCTAAATTATACCCAATCTCATCCAATCTCTATTAGTTTTAGGAACTAGAAAAGAAACCATATGTATCTCTGTACCACACTAAACCAAATAGATGGAGACTGAAGAAACAGAACAGTAGGTTTTAATTCAGTTGAGTTAAAAAGTTCTACCTAAGAAATCTGCTATTCATCTTTCGAATTTAGCTGAGAATTGATACTGAAAAATCAGTAATAGGCCAAGGAGTTCGTTCAGTGGCATAAGTGCCTGCCTGGCAAGCACGCAAGGTCGTGAGTTCAATCTCTGGTACCAAAAAGAAAAAAAACAAGAAAAATCAGCACCAGTATACTTAATAAACAACTCTAATAATATGTTTAAAAACCTGCAGCAGACCATTAGCATAGAGAAACACATACATGATAAGAGGGACACTCGAAGAAAAATCATAATAAATGGAGAGCTCCTGCACTAGGTATTTTCCATAAAGAAATGTTTCTCAAAGTGTGTCTTCAGACACACTTCAGGAAAAAAGTCAGAGTTAGGTATATAAGTTTACAATTTATCTTCTCATTTCAGTGACCACCAAACTCTTTCTCATGTGATAAGATCGGAACTTTAGGATATTTGCTGCCTACTTCATGGATGAAAAATATTCAGCTGTTTGGCTATACCATATTTTGTTTGTTTATTCAACAGTTCATGAACACTTAAGTTGTTTCCAGTCTTTGGGTATTGTCAATAATACTGCTATGAACATCAGCATACAGGTTTTTTGTGAATATGTTTTCACTGTTTTGAGTACATGCTTATGGCAGGGATGTCGAACGTTTTAGAGCTTTCGATGGTAACACACAGCCTGCTGCAGCGTGTGTGCCATCAGCTCGCCACCACTGACCTAGGCATTAGAACCACAAGATTATGTGGTGACTGGTATTTTAACAACTGACAGAGTGTTTTCCACAGTGGCTACAGCATCGTAAATTCCCATCAATATACATAGGATTCCACTCTTCTACATCCTTGATGAAAAATTATTTTTTCTCCTTTATAAAAAATTATAGTCATCCTAGTAAATGTAAAATCATTTCTTGTTATAGTTTTTACATTTCCTTTTGTTAGTGGCAATGAGCATCTTTTCAAATATTTACTGGTAATTTGTATATCTTCTTTGGAATTTAAGTCTATTAGGGTCCTCTTTTTTTAAAGAAATAAGTTTTATTTATATATTTGAGGTATCTAACATGTTATCAAAAATCTATCTATATATGTATAGATACACATATATACACACATATATAATTATTACAGTGAAGCAACAAACATACATATATAATTATTACAGTGAAGCAAATTAACATTTCCATCATCTTACAC